TCTGTTGTAATAAAAATGTTTTGATTACAAGGTTTTTTGTGTGGGACAATGCCTCAGTGTCCACAAATCTCTAAAGCTGTCCTACCTGTGTTTAGTAGTCAAAATGAAGTAATAGTTCACCTAAACATTGACGAATCCGCCAATAATTTGCGGTCAATTTGAAAACACCGCGTAAAAAGAAACCGCGTATATCGAAACAAAAACATTTTATTACATAAACTTTTGTTAAATACATAATATACATAGGTATGTTTGTACATATTTTGTATGAGAACATTAAACGTTAATTTTTTAATAAAAGTATTAATTTATAGAAAAATAAGACGTAATTTTTGACTGTTTAGCTTCGTTGCGTAAATTCTTCTCAACTTCCTTGTATGGTGCCAATGCTGCAAAAACCTCTCGTTTAGTTTTTGAACTTCTTTCCATAGTAGGATCTTCCCTGATTAACAGCTCGGTGAGATCATGTGCCATGGTAAAACATTTATTAAGCATTTTCAACGTCAACTTCTTTGGTGCCGGGACTAATTCATCATCTTCACCTTTTCCTTGAGCTTCATAATTGTTCTCCGTCAGTTCTATGAGTTCTCTTTCAGTGAGTTCAACATTATGCGATTGAAATAGCTGATTTATATCGTCCATATCATCGAATCCCTCTCCAGGTAATGAGTTTCCTAAATCAGCAATTTCTTTGATTTTGTCTCTGATATCAGGCACCCTCGCATGAGACTTCACAATTTCTGGCCATAAGTTTTTCCAGCAGCCATTTAATGTCGATTTTTTAAGTTCACCAATCGATTCTTTAATATTATGTAGGCAATCTGCAATTCTGTCATCCTTCCAGCATTGGCTTAATGTTTTTGTAGGGTCGCGTTCCAAGTATTCTAACAGCATTCTAAACGTACATCGCGTGTAATAAGCTTTGTAGATGGCAATTATTACCTGATCAAGAGGCTGTAGGATTGATGTGATGTTTGGTGGAACAAATTCTACTCGAACATTGCGATTTATTTCCTGTAAACGGGTCGCTGGGTGACCAGGGGCATTATCTATGAGTAATAACACCTTAAATTCGAGATTTTTTTACGTCAAATAACGTTTAACCTCTGGTATAAAACAGTTCTCAAACCAAACTAAGAAAACACAGGCAATTTATTTTTACCTTTGTTTTTTAAAGCACGGGGATTCAATGACACTAATAAACGCTTAATCATACAATCTCCAGAAGCATTTGAACAAAGCAAAAGTGTGAGACGATCCTTTGCTACTTTAAAGCCCTGTGCGGTCTTCTCCTGTTTTGATAAAAATGTACGGTTTGGCATCTTTTTCCAAAACAAGCCAGTTTCGTCCGCGTTAAAAACCTGCTCAGGCTTAAAACCTTCTTCTTCAATGATTTTTAAAAGTTGCCCAGGATATTCCCTGCTAATCAGGTCATGCCCGATTGCACGTTGAAACCACGCGTATACGCGAAACCGCGTATAAATATGCCGCGTAAAACGAGGGACGCCTGTATTATGATTTTCAACATTTCGTGTGAAAATCGACCTCTGAAGACTAGACTATACGACGTCCCGTTGCTCGCAAATTTCTTCGCGTATTTATGCATGTGACATTTCCGTGCCTCAACTTCAGTAAATCAAGCGCGACAGGAAACAGGCCCTTGCTTCCTGCCACCACTGGGTCTGCGGCTCCCGTCGAGGCTGAGCAGCAGCTGCACAGCCATTCCACTGCTGTCTTGGAGATGATGTCCCTGTGACGTTCCCGATCGTGATAAATATGCGCCAGGTCACAGTTCACTTGTGTGCGAGCACCATGTGAGCTTTCGGTTAGCTGTTTACCCTTCAAGCTTCAGGATTGAAAGGGTACATGTGCAGTGTCCAAAATAAAACATTCTGACGACATTAATATTGCCTTGGATGAATGTTACGTAAGATTATATGTAGTAGAAGTAATTACACAAGTGCATGAAAATTACCGATAATTTTTCATGAAAGCGTGTGGTCTAAAAATTGCATGAGCCTATTTTCATATTTTGGCGAAAATATGAAAATAACCGAATGCGGATTTTTACTGACAACATGCTTGAATGGAAAATTACCAGGTTTATTTTGATGCACATGTGAAATTCCGTAGAGTATTTCTCGAGTTTCCCATATTTATGCATGTCAAGATGACAAATGCAATCTTAACTATAGATACGGACCTATAGGGAAAGTTTCGATACTTGCTGGGCAATTCTAACAAGAAGCATGAGTGCTGTTGGCAACAAAGATGCGACTCGAAGACGAGGATTTTTGCACCTGCACGAATGTTTTTTGTCAAAAAAATATTACTTTTACTGCATTGTGTTTTTTCGAATTTTTTTTTGACAGGAAAGAATTAAATGCCCCAATGGCAATTAACAAGACTATTTCATCAGTAACAGATTACTGGTGTACTAGGAGACCATAATTACTTCTTATCAAAGGTATCGTAATTTCTGGTGACAACAGCTGTCAAGGTGCTGTCATACAATCATTCCATCTAAAAGCCATTTGTAATTCAAAATTCGACGTTTGTGATTGATAGAAATTAAGACGAGGGAAATATTCGCCGTACATACCCACCTTGGTATGATTCTAACATCATTGAAGATAGTATACAAAAAGCAAAGTACAGACGGAAATTTAAAAGGTTTGGATGTCTCTCAGATCATTTGCAATTTTAGCGTGTACGTGCTGCGATCAAGAGTGAGATAAAGACAACTTATAATAATTATATTGATGACGTTCAGAATAGTCTGGCTCTTGATTCTGAGAAGCTTTGGTCATAGTATATGAGGAGCACAGCACAACAAGAATTCTTGGCACTGTGAAATATCAAAATAATACTTATCCTCAGTCTCAAACAATAGATAATGCTTTTGATAATTTCTAATCAGTTTTAAACAGGCATCTGTTTTGAGTGCTGGCACTGATGAATATTCAAATAGCACTGCCACATCTCGTCAATAACGGCAGCTGCTGGGAAAAAGCTAGGTTACTTGTTTAGGGCAAAGAAGTACTTTTCCCCATATAACCTCCTCACTACGTACAAGGCCCAAATAAGACCCCAGCCACTTGTTGGTAATGCGACGATAATTTTAAGCAACTACTTGAAATTCTTCAAATCCGTAGGATTCATGCTTCTAAATAACAACAACAAAATTGGAATATACTGGTCAAGTAGTTTTTGAGAATTTCCAATTTCTTACCCCAAAAACACGTGTCTTCCTGACATCACTACCAGCTCTTTGAGCAATATACAGGGTTCGTTTAAACACGTTTCCTCTTCTTTGTTGTCGAATAAAAAGTTTTCCCACAAAAAAAAGTGTACCCATTTTATGCATCCATGCTTTAAATACCCTCTTGAACAACTTGCATCAATAAATCCAGACTTTAACAATTATTTCGCAAACCAGGGATATTTTCGTCTAATACAGAGTTCTCCAAACTTTTTTGTGTCGTAGACCCCTTGCCATGTTTTTCCGTGTTGGGTAGACCCCCTACTTACCTGATATTGATTTCCTGTAAATTTCTAACTGTAGTGAAGTTTAGTGTTAAAAACTTAAAGTAAAAACACATGTTAATTTATACATTTATTAATTGAATTTAAATTAAAACTACTCAAAATAAAATTTTGTATCGGTTATGTAAAATATACGTAACATTAAATAAACAGGTGTCTGACCAATAAGTGCCGGCATTGGGAATAAGTGCCCGCATTGAAAAAAAAATAAGAGGGATAAAATAAAAAAAAAAAGTGAAAAATAATAAAAAAAAAGTTTTTTACTTAAAATAGTACAATAAGCGAGTTCGTTTATTAATTATAACATAAACGTATGTTCTACAATAATTTCACTGTTAGTTTGATTAAATTCCGCTTCTTATACGTTTAAGTTATCTAAAAATAGGGAAAAAATTTACGAATTTTAGTGTGTACTACCTATCCTTGAATTTTCAGAATAATTTAAAAAAAAATATTTTCTATAAAGGGGGGGTCTTTAAAAAAATCAATGCGGGCACTTATTCCCAATGCGGGCATTTATTGGTCAGATACCAATAAACATAAAATAAACTATAAATAAAATAACATAAGCAATATCGGGACCTCGGTTGGCCGCGTGGGTCAGAGTGTCGTGCTACTGATCAGCCGGCCGGCCGGGCCGCGAGTTCGAATCTCGCCTTCGCCATGGATGTTGTGTGTTTGTTTTAGGCAGCAGCGGTGGCCGCAGTAGTAGACTCTTCGCTCTCCTGATCAGCCGCCGTGCGCTGTGCGGGTTCGAGTCCCGTCCCAGGAGAAATGTTTCTCTTGGCCATGGATGTTGTGATTGTCCGTAGGTGGTAGATGGTCTCTGACTGTCGAACGCGGAGGTACCACCCGGCGGTTCTCGTAGGCGGAGCCAGAATGTGTGCATGTTGCATGCACACGTGTTCCCTCGCCAGAGTCCGTGTGGCGTCCCCCCTTTCCCATGTATCCCCCATAGCCCCACGGTACCCAATGGGTGCTTAGGCGTTAGGCCTTCGTGGTAGTTGGAGTATAAAAAAAAAAAAATAAGTCAATATTTTTAGTGAGAAGGATGAACCTGATACTTTAATAATAAATTATCAACATGTGGCGTCAATTTTGTAAGGGTTAATCTTAAATCTCCTCGGCTAATGATGTCCAGTCTGTTCCTTTTTTTCGTTAGGAGATTGGTAACCCCCTTTCCACTAGGTATGACGATGAAAAGGAAATTAAAAATTTCCTCGCTATATTCCATAATACGGAACAAGTAACGGGTATGTTGTTTTGCAGCCAGAATTGCTGATATCCGTTTTTAAACTGAACCTTAAGATCTTCGTTTGTACTTAGTTCAGTCAGTTCCTCTTGTATTATGACATTCGTTTCTTCTATGTCACCATATGGATTAATTATCCACGGTGGTATTACCATAGTCAAAATATCCTCAAACCTAGATTCAAAATCTGAATAGAGGACATTTAAATGTTGAACGTAAGTTGAAACGTCGTCTTCTTGGCAGCTTGTCTGTGACAAATTGGGGAACTGAGAAATTCGCCCCGTCCAATATTTTGCTTCATTAGTTTAACTCTGGCAAGAAACACTGATAAGATGGACTTTGTTTTAGTCAAATTTAAACTGTCGCCTTGTAATTGGAAATTAGCCATCTTAAATTTTGTAAACAAATCTGTTAAATAGGCGATGTCTGTTTTCCTCTTCATTAAATTTTCTTTTAAAATTTTATCTTTAGTATCCAGAAATTCTAAAATAGTCTCAAAAAGTGCAAAAAATCTTGTCAAACATAAGCCTTTCGACAGACAGCGTACTTCAGTATGAAGGAGTAATTGATGAAAGTGTTCGTCATTTTCTTCATACAACTGCGCAAATAACCGCGTATTCAACGCGTTGCTTCGGATTCGGTTTACTGCATCAATGACTAAATGACGTGATTCATGTAATCTAACACTCAAATATTTAGCAACTAAATGTTGTCGATGGATGACGCAATGCATTGCTAACACCCCTGACACATTTTGTTTTAAATAGCTTATAAATTCACGATAACGTCCAACCATGGCAGGTGCTCCATCTGTAGCTACTGATATTATATTTGATAAAGGAATTGCTTTTTCAATGAAGTAATCATTCAAAACATGAAATATTGATTCACCTTTAGTGTCGGTTATCAAAGTTCTTGCGAAGAGCAGTTCTTCGTAGATTTCTTGATTCATAATAAAACGAACATATGCCAATAATAATGCTGCATTATCAGGTAAAGTTGACTCGTCCAGTTGTATAGAGAAGTGGGTCGTTTGCAAATAATTACATAAGAAACTTCAATATCAGAACTCATTTCATCAATACGTCTTTCAACATTATTGTTGCTTAAGGGAATTCTTTTAATGATATCAGATGCTGGTTTGTGTAAAACAGTTTTTAAAACCTCTTCAACGGCTGGCAAAATTAACTTATCTCCGATAGTATGCGGTTTTCCGGATTTCGCTATAAGTAACGAGATATTGTAAGACGCCCGCAAACCATCATCATTTCTTTGTGACGTCGAAGCGAACATTCTGTCCAGTGTAGGTCTCTTCTGAAATTTATCTTTAAGTGTTTGAAAGTATTTCAACTCTTTCTCTGTTTTATCAGGGTGGCACCTTCTCAGACGAACTTGCAGTTTAGATGTTTCATAGCGTCATTGCCCAAAACTTTGTTGCATAATATTCACATAGGCGATTGTTTGTCCGGCAATGATGGAATGAAGCCAAATTTCAAATAATCAACACTGTACTGTCTACATTTCTTTTTAGATTCGGACATGGCATCAGTCATCTGTGGGCAAAATTAAATTATTTAAATAAGACATCAGCTGTATATTAAAAATATTTTTTGATTCACACATTCCATAATTCGAACATCTTCTTGCAACAATTAGCTCGAATTACGGAGTTTGCACTGTAATTATATTACCGATTGCTAAAACTTTCAAAAAGAAACTATTGAGGAGTACTCGTGTAATTTTGCATGATTGAATATTTAACTACTAATAACTAAAGTCATGATTGGCGTAATTTATCTATCTTTGCTAACTACGAGTACAAAACTAAAATTTAATAAAAAATAATGTACTTACTTTTCTCCAGCACTCTCAAACAAAATAACACTGACTCACTATAATTTGTGTGATATACTATCTGTTTATATTTTTTAAAATATTTTCTTAGCACTTTCAAGATTCAGGAAACGAATAAACGTATTTGTCCCACATTCGTATTTATAGAGTGACGAATTGAACAAGTCAGTGCAAGGTAGCGAAGCTCTGAGACTGCGACTCTCAGGTTTTTACAAGTTCAAAATGTATTGCGACCACAAAGCGAATACCAACATCCTACAACTTACATAATTTTATAAACATATTTAATACATTTTTTACTTCATAGGTACTTTTATTAATAATGTTTTGATATTATAAGATAGTATGATGTAAGTAAATAGGTACTATCAGTGTATGTGTTGAGATCCACTATCGTGGCCCCCCATATTCATTTCATGGACCCCCATTTTTTTGACGGACGTAGACTCCTAGGGGTCGATATAGACCACTTTGGGAATCAATGGTCTAACATGATTATACTAAATCGAGATTGTGGAACAATCTACCTGAATAGACCTTGTATTGACTTCTCTGCCTAACAAACCAAAGAATAATATAAGTTCTCCGTAGAGAAATGGCTATTTCTCAGGCTAGTAGTGAAAAAGTTTTTCAGTTACGAAATCCAGAACGCTGTGTCTCAAATGCGCCTGAATGAAAAATGCAGCAAGCAACTAGAAAACATTGAACATTTATATATGTAGGTGCATTCCCGGATTTAGACGATACAATTTGTTATTTGGATACTTTGACATATCGTTATCAATATCGGCATTTTTCTAGCAGCAGGTGGATGTCACTAATAGGCACGCGCATATGTGTTTGTCTAGAAAGGAGGCAAAAGGGCCTTAGCGACATCCAGATGCGGAACTTGAGATTAGATGTAATTGCCGCAGATACCGCGGCTCTTCAAAAAGGAATGCGTCTTCGGAATTCTTCAAATGCACCGACGGTCGTTCTCGGCCACTGTGGACGAGCACGTTACTTCGGAAGGTTTATGGTGCAGCTTTTAATGAAAATGGACACCGCGCTAACGATCTTAGACTGTTCTTTAATGACGAATTACTAGAAACCGTCGACCATTGCCTCATAGCGCATGGAAATATGAGTATAATACGTATAATCAGAAAGTTTAGGAAGCGCTTGAATTAAGTTATAAAGAGAATCTGACAGTTGGGACCTTCATATTCAGGAATAACTACGCTTGAAGTCAACAGCGCAATTTGTGTCATAAAAACAACGAAAAATGATATCTGGAGATAAGTAATGAAGATCTGCTTTCATGTATTGCACTTTCTTCAGGTTTTAAGCATTAAACTCGATGTTAAAGGCTCTTAGTTGCATTTTTTCTCAGAGTATAGGTTCTTCCAGCTAGCAAGAAACTCACAAAACTTTTTGGAATCGCTTCAATAAGGTGATAGAAGAAAGCTTGGACCACGAAAATTTCTCCTAAAAAATACTATTGCCATGCATTGTGGGCTGTGAATTGCAATATCCATTTTGGCAAAATTTATCGAAAGATTCCTATCATTTCCCTGTAGAAGCATATACTGTAAGAGATTACCTTCTAAGTGTGAGGCCTGAGTGAGAACTGCGTTCTGCGGAGCGTGCAGCGTGGCGTGCAGCGAATTTAGGAGCGTTCTTTGACTGGCCTCAGTGAACAGCGAGCGTTCAGTTGTGATATACGTATTTTGATCATCATGGCTTCATATGACATTTTTGATATGTGTTTAGAAGAAAATTCAGTTTTAAAATTTGACTTGTTATGCAAGGAGGGTTCAAGTCATATTGTTAGACAAAGAAAAAGATTAGGTGAATTTTCTACATTGTACGAAACCCTACGATCAGACGAAAACAAATTCTACGAGTATACAAGAATGTCAGTGCCAACTTTCGACTACATATTGGAAAAAATAGATGCTCGTTTAAAGTTAACAGCCACTAACTTTCATATATCAGATTCAATAACGTCTGCAGAAAAATTAATCGTGACCTTAAGGTGAGTAGAAATGAAACTACTTCAATATAGGTAACCGTATTTATTTTATTTAATTCGAACTACAAAAAAGTTAAACTCTGAGTTTCTTCATCTGGTGGTGTAGTGTAGTAACACTGATAATTAACATTTTGTTGAGAAGTAACTGCTTGGTTTTCTTTCGTAGCTTCATACAGCCATTCATTAACTTTGCCACGGAACTGAAATTTTTGCAGTTCCGTTAGTTTCTTCATTGCGGGAAGAATGCTTCTCAAGAATAAGAAGTCTTCATCATTATTTAACTTCTGATCATTATCGGTCTCCATTAACCGTTTTTCCATGAATAGAAGTTTCTTTTTTTCGATGTCTAGCATACTCTCCTTCAGATTCAAACGTTTTCTTGACGACGATGACGACTGTTGAGACGAACTTGCAGACGATGTGGCTGCAGGTTGAGAAGGTGGAGACATCATCGGCTGCATCATTTCAGAATCCAAATTATCCGAATCATTTGGCATCTCTGAACTGTCCTCATCATTTTCTATATTTTCTGCTTCTTGGCTATCATCTGTTTCATTAACAGATAAATTTCCAGTTGATGGTGCAGGCATTACTTCATCTTTAATGAACATCATTAAATTAAAATATTGCCATGAAGACACCCAAACGTCCGCCTCTGCTCCAGATCTGAAATGTGGTTGTTTCTTGAGTTCCTTCCGGTATTGGTCTTTTAAATGTTTCCAACGCTTTTTCAATGTAACTTCTGCAAGAAAAAAATATTTCCATGTACAAATCGATAACATAAATGAGTAGGGTTTCAGTTTTGTCAATCTAAGCGATATTTAGGTTTACCAATTTTTTTCAGTATCATTTTTTTACAGATATCTTGCTACTGGAACATCTTTTCGAGCACTGGCTTTTAGTTTTCGAATGGGGAAAACAACAGTAGCCGACATTGTTTATGCAACTTGTTCAGCTATATGGCAGCAATTGGTTGAAGTACATATGGCACGGCCAACGCAAGAGGACTTCAAAAATATAGCAAATGACTATTACAGACTATGGCAGTTCCCTATGTGTTTAGGATCTATTGACGGCAAACACTGCAGAATGAAGTGTCCCGCTAAGTCTGGCTCTTCGTTTTACAATTACAAGCAATATTTTTCCATAATACTACAAGGTGTGGCGGATGCAAATAAACGATTTATCTCCATAGAAGTAGGAGGAAAAAACAAAGTGATGGAGGGACTTTTCATTATTCAACGTTGAACAGTTTGATGGAAAATGGAGGACTACATATTCCTCCACCCGATAATTTACCAGGGACCACATTAGAATCTCCTTATGTTTTTCTGGGAGATGAAGCCTACCCTTTGAAAATACATTTAATGCGGCCGTTTCCATCAAGAAACCTGAATGATAAAAATGAGTATTTCAATAAACGTCTCTCACGTGCACGAAAATGTATTGAATGTGCTTTTGGTATTTTATACGCAAAATGGCGTATTTTCAGTAAGCCGATCGAAACAAATGTAGAACACGCATGTTTAATAATAAAAACCGCTTGCCTTCTACACAATGTCATACGTGATCTCGAAGGAAATGATTGTAATTCTCAAAACTATGACACAAATCTGACTCCTGGGGCACATTATGCTGATCTCAATAGAAGAAACAACAGTTCTTCTCAGGCCGCGAGAAATATACGGAACCAATTCGCTAACTACTTTTGGGATAGGAAAATATAATGTTTACAAAATATGTTCAGTTATTTTCAGTATGTAATGTAATGAAAATGTAATAAAATATTACCTTCTATGCCTAGTTTTTCTGCTAATTCAGTCCAGATTTTTGCTTTCACTAGTCTATTTTTATAGAGAGCATGCTTTGACATCCATATTTCTGGTTTTTCTTGGATTGCACAAATTATTTCTTCGAACGGCATAATGCACGAGCTACTGAAACGCTCTAAAAACACAAACAGAATTGAAATGAACGCTGTACACCGCTCGACGCTCCACCAAACGCAAACATGCGCGCTCTCTACAACGCTCTGGCGGCTGCCACTAAGGACATCTAGATAGAATAAGCAGAGATAGACATGCACGCTCCACGCCCCGCGCCGCTGCACGCTCGTCTAGAGCGGGCAGTCAGGCCTCACACTAAGGCTCCCATTTTTACGAGGAGCAGCAAAGCCGGGCTTCGCCAGCGAACGTCATAAACAATCACAACCGCAATTCATCGTTAGTATATTTTATTTACCAATTCAGTGACACTGGCGGATTTTGACTCTGCCGCGCGCGGGTATTATGTAAAAAACCTATAACCTCTTCAAGGTGTAAACAGTCATTTCACGTTTGCTCACTAGGATCGTTGTGAGCGTCCATCTATGGAGGCATGACTAAACTACACGCATTCTTGGTTGCATATGTTTTGTGAAGCCGAGTAGTCTGTAGTTTTCATCTCTGAAAAGAAAGTTGGTTGAATAGCAAGATCGCAACTGGATGATTATGTGTATAAAATTAGTGATATTTGCTGTGTGAGAAAATCATTACTGAATATGCTGCCAATGAATTATATCTATTAGCTGTGCCCGACGGGTTATTTATATGTTGTGCTTTCTGAAGACAGGTTATGTTCAAAGTTATAAATTACGATTTTTTCCGTTTTTCTGTGTTTTCGAAAGCTTTGAGGTGAATTACGAGAAATCACCACCGCACCCGCGTTGCGTGTAATTACTGTTAGCATATATGACTTGTAATTCGACAGTGTACAGTGAATATAATTATTTTTTATCTCTCTCATTTCTGGAATTCAGCAAATTTGCATATTTAATTTCCAGAATAAATAAGAAAAAGTAGATGCGCTACTAATTTCTAGCTTTGAGTCTCAAGTAAGTGTATTTGACACAAGAATCCAATGGAATCATCATCAACACATATTACACTGGACAACAAATTTTAGTTTTTTAATTGTATCTTGTGGGAAAAGTGCACTTCTTTGTTAATTTTGGGGCGCTGAATCCAAAAATGACAATGAAATAAAAAAATTAGTTGCGGTTTAGAAAAAAAACTTTTTATTTTTAAGGATATATTAAAAAAAGTAACAAGATTCATATACTTATAGGAATCACTATATGCGCTGTCTTTTTGCTGTTCTTTTATGGATCGTTTCTGGAGCATCTCTACCAAGAGTCCAACAGTATGGAAGGATTCCACTTCCCTGGTACCTTTTTTCCATTGTTGAAATATCCTGATGAAAACGTTCGCCGTGCTCATCACTTACGGCTCCGCAATTGTCAGGAAGAAAGTCCAGGTGTGAGTGTAGGAAATGTATCTTAAGAGACATATTACAGCCCATCTTTTGATACGATGACAGCATATTTTTGACAAGGGTTTTATAGTTGTCAGCTTTTCTATTTCCCAAGCAATTAGTGACCACCAGACGGAAATCATTCCAAGCAGTTTTTTCAATACCTGTTAAAGTGTTTTCAACCTGTGTATCTTTTAAGATATTTCGAATCTGTGGCCCAACAAAAATACCTTCTTTAACCTTTGCCTCACTTAGTCTTGAAAATTTCTGACGGAGGTATTGAAAAGCTGACCCTTCTCTATCTAATGCCTTGACAAAGTTTTTCATTAGGCCCAACTTGATATGCAGTGGTGGTAATACATTTTTTTTCGAATCTACTAATGGCATATGCTGTACATTTTTTTGACCTGGCTCTAGAAATTGACGAACAGGCCAGTTTTGTCTGGTGTAATGAAGTGCCTTTGCCCGACTGTCCCATTCACACAAAAAACAGCAAAACTTTGTGTAGCCTAGCTGCAGCCCAAGTAAAAGTGCAACAACTTTCAAATCGCCACAAATATGCCATTGGTGCTCATCGTATTTTATGCATTTCAATAGGTGCTTCATATTGTCATATGATTCTTTCATGTGAACTGCATACCCTACAGGAAGAGATGGTAAAATATTTCCAATATGCAATAACACTGCCTTTAAACTCAATGTTGAACTGTCTATAAACAATCTCCATTCTTCTGGGTTATAGTTTATATTTAAAGCCGCCAGTAAGCCGTTAATGTTACTGCAGAAAACCAAGTTATTCTCCATATTGAAAAATGGTTCTAAGTCTTTGTGGCGTTTACGAAAAACACATACCGAAACATCTTTCCTTGCCGAATATAAAAATGTAGCACGTGCATTCTTGCGAATTACAGTATATTAACACTGTCACAGCAGGAACACATATAATTACCGTATCTCTAAAACTTGAACTAATATTGAAAAAATAAGTTTCGTTCCGGTTTTAGCACATTAAAAATAGTAATATTTTGTTGATTTTATTTACGATATTTTTTGGCTATTGATCAGTGTTATTAGCACATAAATCCTTACTATGCACCTATGCATTGCCGTTTCCTTCTAGCTATAGCATGCAACTTACAGCTTAGACCTCCTGTAATGTCATCTCTGAAGCAGATTTTACATCACATCAGAGTCAAACATTGATAACTAATGACGTTTAAGCAACACTCAAATCAAGCTCACAAGTGTCCATCAGCTAGTTAACATCTTGTAGAAAAACCTACATGATGCCACAAAAAAACAATACAATGTCAGTTTATTCCTTATTTGTCATTCTACTTTCTTTAACGTAGTGTTAGACAAAAAGCATTGGCTGCTCGATTTTACGGGCTGATTGTAGCAATAAAGAGCAAATGAAAATAAATTATGTTTTGCACAAAAATTACAAGTTAAAACTGAAGATCTAACAACAAATAAGTACTTTCAATAACAATATTCATCTGTTAACACGCACAATGTATTAACGAATGTTTGCAATCAATGAAACGGGGTCGAGTTTGTTTTTAATTCATAATTTTTTTTCTTGAATAGTCGGTGTTGCTAAACTATAAACTTCTAAAAAATAACCTCTAAGTATCACAATTTTGAGTTTGTACACATAAAAATTGATCTTTTTACAGTTACAAAATCTAACGTATATATTTACAGCTATTATCATATATCAATATGTACGTCACTTCTAATTTGAGTAATTTAAATTTAGAGGAACCATGCTCTGATATAGTAGCAGAGACAACATGAGTGAAACAAAATTCATTAAAATTATCAACACTTGATTACGTGATTTTTATTTCTGGTTATTTGAGCTCCTACGATCAACTCAAGACCACCATCTTCACATAAATCTGTTCAAAAATAATCTCCATTGTTACTAATTTTTTAAATATGTGGAATAAATGGCACAATAAGCTATTAAGATTAAGGTTTGATATATTAAGATTGAAAAGTTATAAAAGGCACAAAATGGTAGGCACAACATCCAGCGCCTAGCTACGAGCACCTCATCGACGCAATTTATTAACTTTTATAGTCAAAATCACGAAAGATGACTATTACATCATACCATAAATTGTACTGAAGTAATCAATGGATGTACGTCGATGATAAAATCACGATGTCAGGAACATAATGACAACAAATTTATATTATGATTTTACGAAGTTAGGTTATTTCACTGATTATTTGTATTTTCATTTTATTTCATGGTTTTGAGTGATACCATAATCATAATTTTAGTGGGAAGTTTTTGTTTTGAAAAAAGTATGAGTAGAATACCTTAAGACAGGAACACCAAAGTTATTCGAAAAGAACCTAACCTGCTTCAACATAACCTAACTATTCATCTTTCAAATATGATCCATCATGCAACATGAAAACATCGTCTATATTTGTCGGATACATGCAAATTAGCAATACAGTTTGTTTAGACAATAAGATTTTGTTTGTCTCTAACATGTCTGGAACTTCATTAAAAATATTCACAAATGGCTGTCGTTTGTCTTTACTGCATACTAACATGATGACGTAATCGTCATCTTTCGTGATTTCGACTGTAGTTAAGTAGTTCTCAGAATCCGAACTATTTGAACCATTTCAGAACCGGTTCTGAATTTGCTGGGTCACGGAATCAGTTACATTCTCTGTTGGAACAGTAATTTGGATCTGCGCAGGCTCTATTCAGTTCGACGGTTTGTTGGAACAAAGCTTCAGATTGCAAATATGTATTTACGATTTATTTTTTTGTCTGTGCCTGCAGAATCTTTTCAAGCTACCGCCCCGACCTGCCGGTATCATCCCCATAAAAACGATCTCTCGCAGCCCTGTGATCAGGACCATACCGCCCGACATCAGCCGGCTGGAAAAACGCTTTATTATCCTGCAGTGCCGCCGCCGCCGTGTATGTTCCTGCGGCGAAAGGCGATTGGCGGACTGCCGTTGCTATGGTAACGCCCCTCGGCGGCGTGTCGCCGGTTCCAGTCGCGCGGCCCGGCTCCGGAGCACTCCGTACTGTACACTCCGTGCTCTGTTCACCGGAAGGATATGCTGCCGCCGGTGATATACCGGATTGAGTACACTCCGGGCGGCAACCGTACTTACTTGGATGCATGTTCACGAGGGATATAAGTTTGAGGAGGTTATGAACGAAGATCTCGACTCAAAAGATTGAGGGCCGTATCGTCTGTCCTTCCTAGAATTGTAGGACACCTTTATGGCCTCCTTGATTTTCATATTTTTTTCTCTCCTTCAGAATGTTTGGGAAATTCCTATATTTCTACTATTCCGTGTCAGTGTCAGCGCTCTTCTATTGTGAGGCTATACTTTCTTTTAGTAAATTTCAGGCGAAGTTCTAAATTATCACATGCCTAACTACGAAAAACATATTAAATGTGTATAACAGCTTGATCCACCAGCTTATTCAATGTGCAAGTGAAGTAAATTATAACATGCACAACTACAAAAACAACAACAACAACAAATTAATGGTGAATAACAGCTTGATCCACAAGCTCCGTCAACGTGCAAATAAAAATCTCACAGAAAGTAGATATTCTGCTATAGTTGCCTCACATTAGATGAATGGACGACCTAACTACGGCCCGTATCGTCAGTCGTCCCTACAATTGTGAGGCGCGTTTATGGCCTCCTTGATTGTCATACTCTTTTCTCTCCTTCAAAAATTTCTAGACTACACTCGTCCCGTGTCAGCGTCAGCGCTCTCTTATTGTTAAGATATGTTTTCCTTTTAAATTCTAGGAAATTTCAGGCTGATAAATCATGATAAAACTCAAAAGCAAGCACAATTTGATGCAAATAGATGTTTGTGACATAACCTCAAAATAGAGCGCTGACACGGAGAAGTAGAAAACTATGACAATCAAGATCAGTAAAGTATATCTATTGACTGTGCCCGACGGGTTATTTTTATGTTGTGACTGACTATGAAATCTTATGTAGTAGGTCTGATCAAGATAGTTTGCAACTAAGGCGGAGTATTGCATCTCTTTCATTTCTATATAAATTATTACATAATACCATAGATTGCTCTTCCATCCTATGTCAAATCAATTTTAATGTACCTAGGATCAGCTGTAGGACTAGTGCCACGTTCAAGTGTTGTAGGCCAAGAACCAACATCTTAGGCCCGTATCGTCAGTCGTCCCCACAATTGTAGGGCGCGTTTATGGCCTCCTTGATTGTCATCCTCCTTTCTCTCCTTCAAAAATTTCTAGATTACACTTGTCCCGTGTCAGCGTCAGCGCTCTCCTATTGTGAAGATATTATGTTTTCTTTATAAATTGTAGGAAATTTCAGGCTGATAAAACATGATATAACTCAAAAGCAAGCACAATTTGATACAAATAGATGTTTGTGAGATATCCTCAAAATAGAGCGCTGACAGGGAGAAGTAGAAAACTATGACAATCAAGGAGGCCACAAAGGCGCCCTACAATTGTAGGGCGCGTTTATGGCCTCCTTGATTGTCATACTCCTTTCTCTCCTTCAAAAATTTCTATATTACACTTGTCCCGTGACAGCGTCAGTGCTCTCCTATTGTGAAGATAATAATAATAATAATAATAATAATAATAATAATAATTAACGTCTTTTATTTGTAATATTCTTACAGGAGGCGAGATTTAGATTATATCATATAACCCCCTTAACAATACGAGATGTAAAAAAAAATAAAAAATAAAAAGAGTTTGTTGAAAATTAATAGGCGCCTGTATACAATAACGAATAATCCAAGTAAATACATAAGGAAAATATGAGGACACTTATGGGTTACAACCGATTTCGCTGATGATCAAGAAGGACTTCTTTCACTTTTTTCTTGAATTTGGATAATAGATTGGTTTCTTTTAAACTGCGGTCTAAAGAATTATATGATTTGATCGCATTGTAAATGTATGAATTCTGAAAAAGATACGTGCTGTGGCGTGGAATTGAAAAAGTCTCTCTATATCTAATATTAATACGATGCATATTCTCTGTACGTATGAATTTTTTTACTAAATATGACGGTGTTTTTGAATAAAGAACCTTATGAGTCAGATTTAGGAGCTGGTACTTATACATTTTATCAATTTTCATCCATTTGAGTTCATTAATGGCATTCGATATATGATCATATTTTCTGAGATCATTTACAAGCCTGCAACATGTATTCATTCTTTGAATACGATTTCTTGTTATAATATCTAAATAGGGATAGTAAACCACTAAGCAATACGATATCTTTGAAAATACGAAATATTCACACAATTGCTTTCTCGTAGATTTATGTAATATAGCCTTATTTGCAAATAAAACTCTGAGAATAGCGTAGCACAGAGTAATTAGATAGTTCACGTGTGCAACAAATTTTAATACCTAGGTTTTTCGAATGATCCACAGGAATTAATTTATTACCTTTTAAATGTATGTCTATGTCCTTTTTTGAGGTATTCTTTTTTGTTCTATTTGCGTATACCAACATATTTGTCTTCAAAGGGTTCAAACGCAGATTATGACTACTGCTGAACTTTTCAATTTGCTCTAGATCTTGATTAATTTTATTATTTGCCGTTTCCAAGTCATTACTCCTAAATGAATAGAAAATTTGAGTATCATCTGCAAAAAATTGTATGCTGCATGATTTTACCTCTGTTCCTAAATCTGAGATATATAATGAAAATAATAGCGGTCCTAATACTGATCCCTGTGGTACACCAGAACAAATTTTTTGTTCCGTAGAGTACTGTTGATTTAGACGAACTTTTTGATACCGATTTTCAAGGTAGGTTTGAATAAACGAAATAGGTTTTTCAGAAAATCCATAGTAACTGCATTTAGATACAAGAAGTGAGTGATTAATGGTATCAAATGCTTTAGTAAAGTCAAGAAGTATGAGAGCCACTGCTTTTTGGTTATTAAGTGTCATTGATATATTGTCTGTTAAATCACAGAGTGTTTTCTTTTTAAATTGTAGGAAATTTCAGGCTGATAAATCATGATAAAACTCAAAAGCAAGCACAATTTGATGCAAATAGATGTTTGTGACATAACCTCAAAATAGAGCGCTGACACGGAGAAGTAGAAAACTATGACAATCAAGAAGGCCATAAACGCGCCCTTAGGCCCGCATTGTCAGTCGTCCCTATAATTGTAGGGCGCGTTTATGGACTCCTTGATTGTCATAGTTTTCTACTTCTCCGTGTCAGCGCTCTATTTTGAGGATATGTCACAGACATCTATTTGCATCAAATTGTGCTTGCTTTTGAGTTATATCATGTTTTATCAGCCTGAAATTTCCTACAATTTAAAAAGAAAACACTCTGTGATTTAACAGACAATATAACAATGACACTTAATAACCAAAAAGCAGTAGCTCTCATACTTCTTGACTTTACTAAAGCATTTGATACCATTAATCACTCACTTCTTGTATCTAAATGCAGTTACTATGGATTTTCTGAAAAACCTATTTCGTTTATTCAAACCTACCTTGAAAATCGGTATCAAAAAGTTCGTCTAAATCAACAGTACTCTACGGAACAAAAAATTTGTTCTGGTGTACCACAGGGATCAGTATTAGGACCGCTATTATTTTCATTATATATCTCAGATTTAGGAACAGAGGTAAAATCATGCAGCATACAATTTTTTGCAGATGATACTCAAATCTTCTATTCATTTAGGAGTAATGACTTGGAAACGGCAAATAATAAAATTAATCAAGATCTAGAGCAAATTGAAAAGTTCAGCAGTAGTCATAATCTGCGTTTGAACCCTTTGAAGACAAATATGTTGGTATACGCAAATAGAACAAAAAAGAATACCTCAAAAAAGGACATAGACATACATTTAAAAGGTAATAAATTAATTCCTGTGGATCATTCGAAAAACCTAGGTATTAAAATTTGTTGCACACGTGAACTATCTAATTACTCTGTGCTACGCTATTCTCAGAGTTTTATTTGCAAATAAGGCTATATTACATAAATCTACGAGAAAGCAATTGTGTGAATATTTCGTATTTTCAAAGATATCGTATTGCTTAGTGGTTTACTATCCCTATTTAGATATTATAACAAGAAATCGTATTCAAAGAATGAATACATGTTGCAGGCTTGTAAATGATCTCAGAAAATATGATCATATATCGAATGCCATTAATGAACTCAAATGGATGAAAATTGATAAAATGTATAAGTACCAGCTCCTAAATCTGACTCATAAGGTTCTTTATTCAAAAACACCGTCATATTTAGTAAAAAAATTCATACGTACAGAGAATATGCATCGTATTAATATTAGATATAGAGAGACTTTTTCAATTCCACGCCACAGCACGTATCTTTTTCAGAATTCATACATTTACAATGCGATCAAATCATATAATTCTTTAGACCGCAGTTTAAAAGAAACCAATCTATTATCCAAATTCAAGAAAAAAGTGAAAGAAGTCCTTCTTGATCATCAGCGAAATCGGTTGTAACCCATAAGTGTCCTCATATTTTCCTTATGTATTTACTTGGATTATTCGTTATTGTATACAGGCGCCTATTAATTTTCAACAAACTCTTTTTATTTTTTATTTTTTTTTACATCTCGTATTGTTAAGGGGGTTATATGATATAATCTAAATCTCGCCTCCTGTAAGAATATTACAAATAAAAGACGTTAATTATTATTATTATTATTATTATTATTATTATTATTATCTTCACAATAGGAGAGCACTGACGCTGTCACGGGACAAGTGTAATATAGAAATTTTTGAAGGAGAGAAAGGAGTATGACAATCAAGGAGGCCATAAACGCGCCCTACAATTGTAGGGCGCCTTTGTGGCCTCCTTGATTGTCATAGTTTTCTACTTCTCCCTGTCAGCGCTCTATTTTGAGGATATCTCACAAACATCTATTTGTATCAAATTGTGCTTGCTTTTGAGTTATATCATGTTTTATCAGCCTGAAATTTCCTACAATTTATAAAGAAAACATAATATCTTCACAATAGGAGAGCGCTGACGCTGACACGGGACAAGTGTAATCTAGAAATTTTTGAAGGAGAGAAAGGAGGATGACAATCAAGGAGGCCATAAACGCGCCCTACAATTGTGGGGACGACTGACGATACGGGCCTAAGATGTTGGTTCTTGGCCTACAACACTTGAACGTGGCACTAGTCCTACAGCTGATCCTAGGTACATTAAAATTGATTTGACATAGGATGGAAGAGCAATCTATGGTATTATGTAATAATTTATATAGAAATGAAACAGATGCAATACTCCGCCTTAGTTGCAAACTATCTTGATCAGACCTACTACATAAGATTTCATAGTCAGGATAAATTCCATCTATTTTGAAAGCCAAATATTTTAATGCTTTGCGTTGAACCCTTTCGATCGCAGTGATGTAGCATTCATATAAAAGATTCCATATGACACAACCATATTTTAGCTTCGGCCGTACAAGCGAGTTGAAAAGTTTAATG